GCATACTAAACTAAATATCAAACTCCACAGAAAACAATAAAGTAGACATGGATACAGAAGAAAACTGTAAGTAAACACATTGGGGTGATGCTGAAACTTAAATTAGAACATACCAGTTTCAAAGAAACAAGTAGAAAAGGCAGTAGTCTTGTAAAAGCCAAAGTGCAAACAGGAAGATAGAATACTATGAGTGTGAGTTCAAGAGAGATTGTGAGATTGTGAGGTCTAAAATGTGTTAATCGTGTGTGTGTGTGTTTTGTGAAAAGAGGGGTCGTGTATTTATAGTGTGGAAGTCATGAGGAAATAAGGTAAGAAAATAATTCAAGACTGATTGTAAATCAATCACATAAGACTCCCTTTAATTAAGGGATTCAAATTCAAACGGGTATAAAAAAATTAAGGAAAGAAATTAATCAAACACTTGTGTAAAGCATGCGATTGCGGGTAAATACATAGAGGTTTATTTAAGGACAAGGTCTTGACAGTTAACGTTTGTACAACTTAAGGAAAGAGAATCAGTTAACAGCCAAGAAATCAGAAGTCCAAAGATTTGGTATGAATGAACCAAGACAGAAAGGTGGATCAATAACAATCAATTAGACCTATTAAAAGGAATTCTGAATCAATCACAAGTTGGAAAACCTTTTTAAAGAAAGATTCATCACATATAAAAGCATACAGACACGTTAAACATGAAAGAAACTTATCATGGCAATCAGTAGAAAGTCTAGTGTAGAAGAATTTCAAAAGTTTAGAATTGTATGCAATCAAAGAAGTTCAAATTTAGTTCAGAGACTCAGAGCTTAGTCTGAAAGAGTCAAGGGTTCTAAAATAAAACCCTAGTTCGATCACAGGATCAAACCTCGGCAGAACCCCCAAATTCTAGAGTTTCCGCCTCGAATCAAATACAGAGACGAGGAGGCAAGTAGTCAAAAAAAGCTCAAAAATTTCTTTTCAGAAACTCATGAGAAAATATGCAAACACAGTAGAAGGTTCAAAGCAAACAGAGTGGAGAAACAAGTAAACACTTAGGAACACAGTAGCAGATATAGTAGAAGAACATACTTTTTAGAAGGAACTTAACCAAAGTTCAGAAGAGAAAAATAGTAAAACACTTAAGAAATAGTAGAAGAACACAAGAACACCGGAAAATATAACAAAAGAACATATAGGAAAACATAGTTAGATAAACATGTGAGAGCAGGGTATAGAGACACAGTAGGAAAAAGAAATATTAGAAAGCAGAGAAGAACATGCGTGGTAAAAGGAAATATATGAAAGCAGTAGAAGACAAGTACACATAAAGAAATGGAAAAGAAAACTCAGAGAAACATTTTAAGCATTTTAGAAAACCCTAAATCGAAAAAGAAGTGATTTTAAAAGTAGTTTTGAAAGAAAGTTGGGGAAAACATTTGAAAACTCAAATAGAGCATAGATACACAACAGATCTAAGAAAAATTGAAGAAAACCTCGAATAATTAGGGTTTCACAAGAACCCTAAAATGAGAAAGGCTTTGAAAAGGTCCGATCTGAGTCGGAGAGGATTAGAATCAGGCTTAGAAGACCAGGATACGCCGGAGCAAGGCCGGAGATGGCCATAGAACCTTGGATCGGTGGAGCTTGGAACGAACACCTTCGAGCTCAGACCTCGAACCTTCGAGTACCAAGTGTATAAGAGCAAAGGGAGGCAAGTTTAAGACTCCTATGGCCGGAGAAGCCATGAATTCCGGTGGGTTTCGAGGTGGGAGCGAGAGGCGGCTAGGGTTAAGGAAGGTTCGAGAGAACCTGAGAGATGAGAGGGGTTTCAAAGAGGCGTCTCAGGTGAAATGGACTAGGGTTAGGAGGTTTTGGGGGATTAAAAAAGGTAAGGGGGAATCGTGGCCGTTGATCAAAATGATCAACGGCCTGGATCAAAAGGGGAGCCAGGTGGGTTGGATAAATGGGTCAGGGGTCGGGTTAAATTGGAATTGGGTTGGTTAGGTTTGGGATTGAAATTGGATTAATTAGGGGGGTTAATTTGAGCTAAAATTGAAATTAAATAGGGATAACTTTTAAATAGCCTCTTTTCCCTTTTATTTTATAAAAAATAGTAAAAAAGGATTTCTGAAAATAAATTAATGGGGCTAAATTAATTAGTAGTATATAAATATTAATTTAAAAATATTGGAACCAATTTCATAATTGTAAAATGCTATTAAATCTTAAAAAGGCTAAAATTGCAATTATATGCAATTTAGCTTTTAAAATACCAAATAAGTTTGTAAAAAATGTATAAAAATTACCTTAGCTGTATTTTTGGGTAAATATGAGGATAAATAAGTGAATCACCAAAACGATAATTTTTAGAATAATTATTAGTTTTGTACTGTTAAAATAGGGCAATAAATGGGTTTAAAAAATCTTTTTTAAAAATTAGAAAAAATACTAAAACTTTTGGACACACTTATATATGCATATATATACTATTTTGAAATTATTTTTCATATAAAAATATATAGGGAAAAATTGGGTATCAACAATCGTGATTGAATGGTCAGGAACGCGGTCGCGAAGACATGTGATCTTAGTCATCACGTTCGCAACTGGGTTGTTGCATTCGTGTAAGAAGAATTTTCATCTGAGAAATGTTTGTGCTTCACGAACACGAGGCAATTTCTGCATTCACGAAGAAGAGCACCTTGGCAGAAAGTTTAAAATCCCAAATCGTGGGTTAGGGTATTATTTCATATTTTGACTTGTGGAGCTCGGCTAGGGTCCATTTTTATTGAGGTAGTTCACTACAAATCAAGAGGTAATTAATACAAGAATTAAAGATAGCTTGGTGGGCTCTAAATGTTCTCGGCGCACGATAAGCCAATGCAGGCTAACGTGCACCTCAGGCGAGGAGACGCAAGCAAGCAACGCCGGCAGCCGGTGTGACTACGCCGGTGAACTCTATAATGCAAACTAATCATCCATTAACCTTTGGAAGCTTTCTACCAGCTGGTTTTCAACCAATTTGTGAAGAAAGTGAGCTAATCGAAAATGAAGAACTGAACAGGAACCAATGGAACAGTAACAATGTGAGCACAGTACATGCAGCGTAGAAAGGCAAAGAACAGCTACCAACAAGTCCAAAGCGTCTTCAATTTTCTGAAGCTGGATCTTCGAAGCAAACTTCAGATCCAGATATGGGAAACGCAGCAATGGAAAAAGAGAGCACAATGCATGCAGAGGAGATTAGGAAGCAGAACAGGAGCTCTCAAATAGGGATGAAGCTGGACTATGTACCACCCTGCCATAGTGAAGGTAAGGTGGTAATTCAAATAGAGGAAGAAGATGTAAATGAACTAAAGGAATACTGGGATAATGCTCTAATTGAGTATGTGTTGGGGGATACACCGTATGAGAAATCTATGGTGAGCTATGTAGAATCCGTTTGGGATTTTGTAAATAAACCTCTAATATTATATCATCATAATGGTTACTATGTGTTTCGATTTGTAAATGTGAAGGACAAGGAAGCGGTTATTTAGGTAGGACCATACACCTATTAGAATAAACCACTGATGCTATAGAATTGGGAAAGAGATTTTTCACTTTGACCCTAAATGTATCACTACTATTCCAGTTTAAATCCAAATTCCTAGCTTATCAGTTGGGTATTGGACTGCAGATGTATTGAGTTAGGTGGCAAGTGGTGTAGGGATGCCAATGTACATTGACAAATACACAGCTGAACTAGGGAAAATATCATATGCACGAGTCTTTGTGAAAGATGATATAACAAAACCATTGGTGGAGACTATAGAAATTATAACTCCTATGAGTGTTAAGCAGCAGGAAATTATATATGAATGGAAGCCGAAGTTTTGTACTGAATTTTACATTTTGGACATGATATTTTTCAATGCTGGAAAGGTATGCAAGGAGGAGAATGCAGAATTTCATGTACCTAAGAGGAGAAATAGGGGCAGAAGAAGGAGAATCATACAAGAATGGAAACCAAAAGAACAACAGGAAAATGAAGAGAATAATGAAGAAATGCAGCAATTGCAGCCTCATACAAAAGAGGACAAGGAGACACACGAAGATGATGCAGTCCAAAGAGGCAAAATGATACAAAATGAAGTGGACAAACAGGACAACTCTCCAGAAAAGCAGAGCAGATATGCAGGAATAAACAATGCAAATAGATTCCAAGTGCTAGGTAAAAGGGGACAAAATGCTGCACAGGGAGGGGCCTTGGATACTGATCCTATACAATACCCCCCATGATCATGAGTACATGGAATATAAGGGGGCTAAATAAGCCTTATAAGCAAAAAGAACTGAAAAACTTTTTGCAAAAGAATAATGTGGATGTCTTAGGATGTCTGGAAACTAGAGTAAAAGAAAAGAAGGCAAAAACAATACTCTACAGAGTAGCAAGAGACTGGGGTTATTGCTGCAATTATACTAAGGCTGAGAATGGTAGAATCTGGTTGATGTGGAAGATAAACATATCAGTCAATGTAATCCAAGTTCATGAACAATGCATTCACTGTGTAGTGAGTGATGCAGTTATTGGACAACAGTTTATGCTGACAGTTAGGTATGCTAGAAACAAGCAACAGGAGAGAACAAGTTTATGGTGTGAATTGCAAATGATGGGAAATCAAGTTCAAATTCCATGGCTCATAAGTGGTGATTTCAATAGTATCCTAAATACTGAGGATAGGTTGGGACAACCAGTTACTATGAATGAGATAAAAGATTTCAAGCACTGTATTGACTCCATACAATCGACCAATTTGATGACAAAAGGCTGTTTCTATACATGGTGTAATAAACAATCTGCTGATGATAGAGTATATAGTAGAATTGATTGGGCCTTTGGCAACTTTGAATAGATCAAAGAATATGGACATGCGGAAGCTGTTTTTCTGGAACCTAGAGTATCAGGTCACTCTCATATAGTGATCCAATTATGGAAGAGGAAGAATATATATCCTAAACCATTCAAGCTATATGTAGTAACAATGGAGCAAAAGGAGTTTAAACCTATGGTAGAGGATATGTGGAGGCATAAGATGGGAGGTGACCCTATGGATAGTATATGGCAGAAATTACAGCATTTGAAAAATGTAGCAAAGGAATTGAATAAGGAGATGGTGAGCTATGAGAAAAGGTTGAATCAAATTAGGCAGCAGCTAGAATATGTGTAAAGTAATCTGAAAGTAGGCCTTCAAATCAAGAAATGATAGAAAAGGAAAAACATATACTGCAGGAGCTAGAGAAGTGGAGTACCATAGAAGAAAGAATCTTGAGGCAGAAATCAAGAGTCAACTGGATAGATTATGGAGATTCAAATTCTAAATACTTTTATGCCTAGCCGAAGATGAGAGCAAGCAGGAATTCAATCACTTCTGTGTACAGTGAAAGGGGATTCAGAGTTACAGAACCAAAAGAAGTAGAAAAAGAATTTGTCACTTTTTTTAAGCAGCTCATGGGAACAGCTACTGGGATCAAACCATGTCCTAATACCAAAATTATCAAAGAAGGTGTATGCTTATCAATGCAGCAGCAACAAGAGTTAATCCAGGAAGTTACTTATGAAGAAGTTGATGCAGTAGTGAAAGATATGCCAAATGACAAAGCCCCTGGTGTGGATGGCTTTCCAGCAGAGTTCTTTAAAAAAACACTGGAATGAAGTGAGACAGGAGATTTATGAAGCCGTGGTGTTCTTTTTCCAGACAAGTAAAATGAAGCAAGTATGGAATTGTACAGCTATAACATTGATTCCCAAAGGACCAGCTCCTACAACTGTGAAAGACTATAGACCTATTGCCTGCTGCACTACAGTGTACAAAGTTATTGCAAAAGTAATAACTAAAAGGATTAAGAAGGTGATTGAGAGTATAATTGGGAAAGCACAGATGGTGGATTGAATGTAATAACAAAGTATGCCGACCTAAATTAGCAGGTGGATTGAATGTGATAAATATGAAGATGTGAAACAAAGCAGCAGTGCTAAAACATCTATGGGCTCTGGCTATGAAGAAAGATGCACTATGGATTAGATGGGCTCATACTTATTACATAAGAAACAGACAGATTGAAGGTGTACACACACCCAAAGCAGCAGCATGGGTGGTGAGGAAGATCATAGAGGCAAAAGATGAAATCTTGAAATGAGGGAAGATCAACCCAGTATTGCAACTATACTGGAGAGCTTTGTGAAGCAAGGTAAACTTCAAATACACAAGGCATATGTCCAGATGCAGCCCCAATTCCTTAAGGTTGAATGGAAGAGTATTCACATGTACTCTCAGATTCATCCTAGGTTCAAGTGTCACCTATTGTTGGCTATTAACCAAAGAATAGCAATTTTGGATAGGCTTGCTAAACTAGGCATTCAAGTGCAGACAGAGTGTATTTTCTGTGGAAGAGCTGAGGAAACATTTGAGCATCTTTATTTTTGCTGTCATAATACAAACAGGCTGTGGGAAAGGTATTGAATTGCCGGGGCATACAAGATGGATAGGGGACTGGACCATGAGCTGAGATGGATTAGTAACATGGCAAAGAAGAAGGAGTGTAAGGCAGAGATGACCACGGCAGGATTTGCAATGGTTGTGTATTGCATGTGGCGTGAAAGAAACATGATGCGCTTCAACAAAGGAAGATACAATATCGATGCAGTTTGTAAGGAAATTGCAATGCACATACACATACAAGGAAGGAAGAAAATCAAGTGGAAGCCAAGATTAGACTTTGTAAATAGACTGCCTTAAATTGTTAGTGACACATACATAGTCTAGTTATAAATTGTAATAGAAATTAGAGACTAATGGTCAGCTTTAGTCTGGGTATGTAATGTCAGCTTTTTGACGAAATAAAAGCAAATTTTCGTCAAAAAAAAGAAGAGGTAATTAACGTTTTATCACTTTTGTCCAATAATATTGAATACCCATTAATTTCTACACCTAGATTATGTGCGTTTAAGAAATATGGAGAATTTTGGGCTAGGTATTTGAGAGTATGATTTGGGGGTTTGAGGGTCGATTTGTGGTTGGAATTGAATAATTTTTTATGTTTGGACTCGTTATTGAATAGGTGTTCGGTTTTTATGAATTTTGCCAGATTCTGAGGTGTGCGTCCGAGGTTGACTTTGTAAATTTGATTAAAAAACTTAGCTTTATCATACGGAATCGATTCCTATAGCTTGTATTGATTATATTAAGTTGTTGATGACTAGATTCAAGTCGTTCGGAGGCTAATTTACGAGGCAAAGGTTTGTTGGAGCATTGAGTTGCACACTTTGAGGTAAGTAACACGTCTAAACTTGGTAATAAGTGCATGAATCCCTGGAATACATGTTATGTGCTTAACGTTAAGGTGACGCACATGCTAGGTGACATGCGTTTGGGCGTGCACCATAGTAATTATTACTTGATTGATTCTGTGATATTGTGTAGTTATCTAGTCTGGTTTGATCCGTGTAATTTCTATGCGCTAGAGAAGTTGAACTGTGATTCATGTTAGAAATCATGTTTTGGCTATGTGTGTGACGACCCGGCCAGTCGTCTCATGAGTTACAGCTCCATTTCTACCATTTCTGCTTCTTTATGCTTTGTTTATCCGTGTTATGTGGTATCGGGTTGGTCGGATCAAATCCGGAATGATTTTGGTAAGATTTGAGACACTTAGTCTCCTTGGAGTGAGTTTAGGATGGAAAAGTCAACCGGATCTTGACTTGTGTGTTAGATGGCTCGAATGTGAGTTCCAATGGTTCGGTTAGCTTCGGGAGGTGATTTGGGACTTAGGAGTGTGATCGGAACGAGTTTTGGAGATTCGGAGTAGATTTAGGCTTGAATTGGCGAAGTTGTTATTTTGGCAATTTTCGGTTGGTAGGGGAGATTTTGGTATACGAGTCGGAATGGAATTTCGAAGTTGTTAAATTTGGGATGTGTGTGCAAAATTTTAGGTCATTCGGACGTGGTTTGGTTGGGTTTTTGATCAAAAGCGAAATTCGGAAGATTTTAGAAAGTTTGGCTTGAATTTGACGTGTTTTTGTTGATTTGAAGTTGTTTTAGGTATTCTGAAGATTGGTACAAGTTTGAATAAGGTATTAGGAAATGTTTGTGCTTTTGGTTGAGGACCTGGGGGCCTCGGGGTGATTTCGGATGGTTCACGGGGAGTTTGAGGAATGTTTGCAGCTGCTGAACTTTTGTTGCTTCTGGTATTTCCGAACCTGCGGATTTGGGGACCGCAGGTGCGACGCCGCACATGTGGAAGAGGAGCCGCAGAAGCGGATTATTGAGGAGTAGTCAGGAACCGTAGATGTGGTTGTGGGACCTCACCTGCGAAGCCGCAGATGCGTAATATTGAGCGCAAGTGCGATTTTGACTATTAACTGAAGAACCACAGAAGCGGGTAATGGGCCGCAGATGCGAAATGTCTGGGCAGAAAGTATAAATTGGGGCCTTCGCGAATTTTGAGCTATTTCACCATTTTTATCTCGACATTGGAGCTTTTTGGACGATTTGTAAGAGGGGTTTCAAGGGAACTTCATTGGGGTAAGAAATTTGGACTTAAAACTCGTTCCTATGCTACTTTTTCACGGATTAGATCTAGAAATTGTGGAAATTAAGGGTTAAAATTGGGGAAACTAGGGCTTGGAAAGTTAGACCTTTGCTTCAGGATTTGAAGGACTATTTGAGGTCGGATTTCAAAACTTTTGATATATGTGAACTCGTGGGGAGATAATGAATCTATTGATGTAAAAATTATCGAATTCCAAGACGTGGGTCCGGGGGTCCGGTCTTGGTAATTTCGGGATTTGTGTCATATATTGATTGTTTTCGCTAGGGCTTTGTTCCCTTAGCCTATTTTGACATCCTCGTTCTGATTTGGGATAGATTCGATGCGAGTGGAGGCCGATTCGACGGGCAAAGGTGTCGCGAGTTAGAGATTTGACCGGTTCGAGGTGAGTAATGATTGTAATGACATTCTAAGGGTTTGAAACCCCGAATTGCACATCGTATTGCTATATTAAGGTGAGGCACACGCTTGATGACGAGCGTGGGGTCGTGCACTATTGGGGATTGTGACTTGGTCCGTCCCGATTGATGATTTTACCGCGTATTTGACTGAAGTCTATTTGCTATCATCATTATTTGGACTGAATGCCATATTTGGGCTTCACGCCTACTATTTGAACCCTTCGGGGATTTTTATTGATATTTCCTCACTGTTTTGACTATATACTTGAACTCAGTCATGTTATTATCCATTATTTTCATACTCAGCCATGTTTACACAGTTTTAATACCTAAATGATCTTTTCAATGATAATTGGTCTGAGAATCACTGTTTTACTATTACCTGAGTGGCTTGTGAGGATTTTTGACTGAGTAAGACGAGGGCCTATGTTGTGAGGAAACACTGATCATGATTTGAGGCCGGGGGCCTGAGATATATATGCTACGAGGTGCCTTGATTGATATGAGGCCGAGAGCCTAGTGATGATGCCACGAGATGGCTTGATATTGCGCTTGGGCCGTAAGGGGCCTCTCCAGGAGTCTTTACACCCCCAGTGAGAGGGTACCCATTGTGATGTGTGATTGAGCCCGAGGGGCTGGTATTGTTCTGAGATGTTTCCCGAAGGGCGGTTTGTTAATACGGTGCCCGAGGGGCAAACCTTTATGTGTTTACTTTCCTTTATTGCCTGTCAATTACCTACTTAATTGTTGAAAAAGGTCTTTTCATGAAATTACATTTGAGTTAAAGGATTTTTACCTATCTTTCACTGATTTACGGATTTCTAAATGGTTTTACTGCTTCATTATAAAATACTTTGTGCCTTACGTGATTTCTTGCTTTCATTCTTTATTAACATTTATTACTCACTGAGTTGGAGTACTCACTTTACTCCCTGCACCCTGTGTGCAAATTCAGGCATAGCTGGTCCCGCTCCCGAGTGCTGATCATTTCTGGCTCAGGCGGTTCCGAGGAGTCTCTAGGTAGCTGTTGGCGTTCGCAGCCCGTAGCTCTTCCCTATCTTATTTCATCATGTTCTTAGTTCTGTATTGAACTCTGTAGTATGATTTGGAGTTTTCCATTTTGTCTATATGCTCCTGACTAGTGACACCCCGGTTTTGGGCTGTGTTGGGATATTTTCCGCGGTTTATGCTATTAACTGCTTAAACCTTGGTTTATTCGATCGTGCTTTATATTGTTTCTTGTTGCTCAATTTTTTAAAATTGAAATGGGAAGTGTCGGTTGGCCTTGTCTTCACGAGAGGCGCCATCACGACCTGGTCCGGGTTTAGGGTCGTGACAAGTTGGTATTAGAGCCTGGGTTACATAGGTCCCATGAGTCATGAGCAGGTTTAGTAAAGTCTCGCAGATCGGTACAAGTACGTCTGTATTTATCCTCGAGAGGCTGCAAAACCTTTAGGAAAAACTTCATATTCTTGAAATTCTTGTCGTGCGAATTTGTTGATCCGAGTACTAAACTTCAATTATTCTATTCTCTCACAGATGGTGAGGACACGCGCTACCGGCCAGAATCAACGACCACCAGTACCACCAGCTGGGGCCACCAGAGGCCAAGGACACATTCGTGGTCGTGGTAGGGGAAGAGCATCCAAGGCAGCACCTGTAGATCCACCAGTTGCCCCAGTTCAAGATCAGGTCCCGATTTTGGACGCTCTAGCAACACCAGCTCAGGCACCAGTTGTGCCCATTGTGATTCTGGGTCTTCAAAAGGCCTTGGCTTAGATATTATTAGTTTTTACTGCCTAGCTCAGACGGTTTCAGCCACTACAGCCGCAGCTACTTTTCAGGCCGGGGGAGGCAATCAGACTCCCGCCGCTCGCAGACCTTAGCAGGTCATGCAGGGACTTCACACGCTGGGGGTGCGTCCAGCCCAGCCGGTTACAGCTGCTCAGGACTATGTAGTTCCTGCTATGTCGGAGGATGAGCATCGTAGGTTGGAGAGGTTTGGTAGACTGTAGGCAGGCAAGGATGCCGAGGGTTTCGTGGAAAAGTGTCAGAGGATGCTACGTACAACAGGTATTCTGGAGACCAGCGAGGTCACTTTCACTACGTACCAGTTTTCTGGAGCTGCCTTCACTGGTGGGAGGATTTTGAGAGGCGTAGGCCTGTTGGTGCAGCACCCCTTACCTGGCAGCAGTTCTCCGTGCTCTTTCATGAGAAATATGTGTCGCAGCCTCGCAGAGAGGAGCTGCACAGGCAGTTTGAGTGGTTGCATCAGGAAGAGATGACCGTATCGCAGTACGAGTTGAGGTTCTCCGAGTTAGCTCGTCATGCCATATCATTGGTTCCGACAGATGGAGAGAGGATTAGGAGGTTTTTTGATGGCCTCAGTTATCAGCTTCATATCCTCCTGAGCAAGTACTTTCGAGGAGGTTGTGGATATTGCCCGTGAGATTGAGTCTGCTCGTCGCCAGGGGCCAGAGGAGAGGGAGGCCAAGAGGCCTCGAGGATCTGGT